GTTTTCCACTCCAAATATTGATATTTAAAACCCTTTTTATATATCCCTCTGAACCCTGGATTCCCAGGTCTTGATTTTCTATTGTCTGACCTTCTGGACATCTTTTTCTCATGTCTCATTCCCTGCAACCATTATAAAACTCATCTCATAATACTGAATGAAATCAAACTTACTGTGCATCACCCAGAAACGTTGGTATCCTGTGTTCTCTTTTTTGCGACCTGTAAACTCAAGTATCTGCTGCCATTTCTTGAACGATTAGTGATGGACAATGCTGGGCACTTTTAGTTCCTTGTCACAAGCCACAAAAGTATACTGACCTTCTCAGAAAGTTTCTCATTTCCAAGTTTTTCTCTTCCAAATCCGTGCATGATGGTTGTGGGGGTTCACCAAAACTTGTTCTCTACTCCTCAAATTCAGATTAGCCACTCCCTGGAAAGTTATCTATTCTATCAAATTCATTTAATCATCTAACATAGGCCAGGCAACACTTTCAGAATTGAGGACACTAAGGTACTGAACTTCAGTTTCAGTCTTCAAAGCCAAAATGTACTGAGCAAGTTTGTCAGCAGATAATGAAAATAAAATGCAACTGTTATGATGGGTACACAGAGGGACTATGGGAAGGAATGTGACAGAGAGAGCACATGAAAATGTCCCCCTTCAAAGAGCAGGTCATAGAGAATGCAGCATTTGAACAGTCATGGCAAGTCTGACAAGATGTGCATACAGCATTCTAGGGAGGGAAAAGCAACTGTAGAAAGACAATTTGTGCATACATCCTCATGATTGAACAAGCATGTATCTATGGCTGGGGAAAAGTTCACACAAGGGAAAAATGAGATATGATATGGGAGAGGTGGGAGACTTCTCTTTGAACATTCTTGGTTAACTTGTGGAGAAATCTGGGATTATATTCTAGGTCATGGGAAAATGACAGTAATTTAAGCAAACACAAGTCTGAGAAGTTATCTTTTCTATCACCATACATTTGTCCTACCATACCCCACTATAATATCACTCCTTGTTTTCTCTTTAAGCCATGCTCTTTAATTCATTTTAACAAGCCACAAAAGTACTTAAGGTGATAATAATCTCCTATACTTGGTATAGTACCTAATTAATTTATCCCCTTGCCACGATCTATATTAATCACCACAGGAACCACAGGATACCACTTACCTCATGGCCTCTAATTTCCATATCACTTGAGCATTGTTATTTTTGCTTTCATTTCCTTTCCTCTCTATCTTCTGATTCTTTTCATGTCAGAGTAGTTCCAAGTCATCCATCATCAAAATCCCTTCAAGCATCAACTTCTCTTGAGCACATGTCCTTTAGGTTTCCTGTGCAGCTCAATATAGGCTCTCCCTGGATTATATTCTTCCCCTTACATTATTATGAACTGTTTTCTCCTCCATATTCCTTCTACCACAAGGCTAGACTCATGGTTCATCTGCTCTTTTCCTCTTTAATTATACATCCAGATTATTCTTCCATCTCCTCCCATAAAATCACCAAGTTTTCATGATTTTTGTTAAATTTTCCAATCCACTCTCTCTTTGCTATACTTTATACTCAATTCACCCTCCCAACTTTGATGATTTTTATCTCCTGTATCAACCCCCCGTTCTCTAATTCTACCCTTGATTTAATTTTTGGTCTTTTCAAGATCATGTACACATATTTTTCCCAATGTCCTGACCTCTCACTTATTAAATCTCCTCTCCAATGACTTAATATTCTACCTTAATTCAAAGGCTTCCTCCTATAGCTATTCTCTTGACATTGTTTATAAATCTCAGTTACAAATATCCATTATAAGTACCACTGCTCAACTTTTCAGGTCATGCCGAAGAATATCACCACTCAAATTACCTTTGATTAACTCAGAATTTGAGTTGATCTTCAATTATTTCATTATCTTATTATTTTCCTTTCTCATCCCATGATATTACCATCTTTTTCCTTGCAGGACACAAATACCAGAGTGAGTAAAAAAAGAAAAGTCCCTACTTAATATCATAGTTTCTTTGTCTGTCTTGCTTCTTTCTATATCCAATGGTTAATACCAAAACTCAGGTGAAATCACATCTACTAACTCAGTACCTGTATAAACATAATTAAATGAGGCAGGACTAGAAAAATGCAGCCACATAGTTAATCAATTTCACTTTAAATTCTTGATCATGAATGTTCTCTGGAAATAATTATGTAGTTTCTTATATATTCTGGCCAATTCTCCTTATAACTCCTCTACATAAATATTTCATACTTCTCTTACCTTTTTTCCTTCATGGTGTTCTCTTAGTTGGTATTTTCCTATTTCAATAAGCAGAATAAAAAATTCACACAATTTACCACCTCTACTTTTACCAACCTACTTGAAGCTTTCTTAAATGCTACCCTTTCTTCTGTTCCTAGAGTTGATCTGTGCGTGCTTCTAACTTCCAATCCATGTGTTTTATCCTAAATATGCTCGTCTATCCTAACTTTATACTTCTAGTCTACAATTACCCAAGTTCCTTTGGCATATATCCAATTGTATTTGACATCCCCACTTATCGGACATTTAAAAATAATCTCTGAGTTAACACTAAAAAAACAGAGCTTCTGATTATACTCTGTACCTCTCCACTTCCCATCCTGTTGCCAAGCGCGCGCGTGAGCACACACACACACACACACGCACACAGAGTACTTTCTAAGGCAGTCTTCTCTACATCAGTAATTGTAATTTCATTCTTCCAGTTGGCTGGGCCGAAACTTAGGGTTATCTTTGGCCTTATTCTTTTCTCCTGAAGCTCATGACTCTTCCTCCAGTGTATCAAGAATCATACAGTGCTGTCTGTTTCCAGTGCTGCCACTTTGATCCAGCCCTATGGCATTTTTGCCTGAATTATCTCAGCAACTCCAGATCTTGATTATGCTGCTTCCCTTGTCCCTTGCTGTCTATTCTCTCAAGACTAATTGCCAATGATCCTGTGAAAGTGGACGTTACATGATGTTACTTGCCTCTTGAAAAAATTTCAGTGGTTCTTAATTTAGAAGCCAAACTCTGAGCATTATCTAATGTACCACATATGCTGTAGCCCAGATTTCTCTGCCCTCAAAATCTGTATCATCTGTTGCTCCTTATCACTTGTAGTATACAACATACTTCATTTTTCTATCTTCTTTCTTTCCATTCTCCTCTGTTACAATTTAAATGCTAAGAAGGCAAAGTTTTTATTTGTTTGTTTGTTTACTATTATATTTTCAATCCTAGATATGTGCCTCATACACAGTAGGCATGCAAGAAATGGTCGTGGAATGGATGAATAACTTAATGAATGAAATTTATTTTCACATGACAATATTACTTAATCTGTTGTGCACACTAATAGCCATGTGATTTACTGTAGTAATTAAAATATATCTCTGGAAACAGACAGGGAAGTGTGAATACAACTCTTCCTTATTATATAAGCTTCCAGAATTTACATAATGTCTCCAGGCCTTGTTTTCTCATTTTAAAAATGGAGCTAAGAAGAGTAACTGGGTGACTCACAGGATTGTTACAAGAATTAAATGAGAAAATGCAGGTAAAATATTTATAATGCCTAAGGCCTAGTTAGTAAGCTTTCAGTAGATCATCTATAGTTACTGTAATATAATTGCCTGCATTTTTTGGTGTCTTGGTTTTCATTAAGTAGCATAAAAAGAGAAGATGTGAAGGCCGAAAATGGTGATTTCTTTTTTTAAAATCTTGAATTTGTTTCATACCAGTAGTTAATTAATTGTTCTTTGACAGTCAGGTAATTCCCTGGAAATGTCTCAGTGGTGCAGTGTCAGTGTGCTAATGTCTATAAAGAGCCAGGCCCATGATCTCATCCATTTCTCTATGGCAGTTCACTCCAGAGTGGAAAACATGTTGGTTATTTACCTGGCACTGTGTTTAAAAATTAGAGCTCTGTAGGGAATTACCACAGTGAATTATAAAAATAGTTGAAAAGGGATTTTCCTTGAAATGATATTCATTTGAAATTATTTGCATTGGTGGCAAGTACTCCATAATCATCAGCAATCATGTTAACTTTCCACTTCACCATGTAACAATCCTACTCCATCCTCACATGCTCCAATTGAATTTTCAGAATTAACAAGTATGACTGCAGGACCATCTTATTCATAGTATGTTTAGTTAGGATGATCCAGGAGACAAGACACAGAAGACATCAGCAGGGCATTAACTGCCCTAAGCCACTTTGGGTATATGCAGAATTTTCAGTAATACTGTGCAAATTTACAGCAAAGATTTTTGAGGGGACACAACAATTTTGAGATCAATGTATTTTGTTAATATTGTATTTAGTTGATGAGAATTGGTATTTATACAAGTAGAACTGGAATTCCAGTTAGTGTGACTGCTAGAAGTTAGATTTTTGTTTTAATCTTCTGCATTTCTTTATTCTCTGAATTTGTGGATAGCAACAAGATAAAGCCTTGGTCTCATAGTCAAATGACTTGACTCCCAGTTACAACTGTATAAGTATTAGGATCTGCTGTTCTAAACATGCACATCCTCTGTGCCTAATTTACTCATCTGTATAGAAGTATAGATTATATCTTCTCTGTGTTTTTTACAGAGTTGATAGAATTATGTTATGTGTAAATAATAATTCCTATTTTACATATGAAGGTTATAAAAGTTAGATATTATGTACCATGTACTTTATAATTGGAAGGATATTTTAAAGGCAGTACAGTATTATCAATTTCTAATTCTGCTGGTTTTTCTTCACCTTTTATTGGTTCTTCCCTTCCATTTTCTGAAACTTTATGATTTCACCATCACCACCTTTTTCTAATATGAAGGATGAAGGATATTGAATTTTACTAGTAGGAATACCATGATAAAATCATCCAAAGTTTGTTGGGTGGCATCTTGATGGCACTAAATTGCTCTTGTCAGTTCCTTGCTTGGGTATCACTAATTTCTGTTCTTGTCATTTGCACAGGAAATGACTTATTTCTGGTAGCAGTTCACGAATTGGGACATGCTTTGGGCCTGGAGCATTCCAATGACCCTACTGCCATCATGGCTCCGTTTTACCAGTACATGGAAACAGACAACTTCAAACTTCCTAATGATGATTTGCAGGGCATTCAGAAGATATATGGTAGGTTGCCATTGTTTCTGTCTGGACAATCCTACAGTAAAATCCAGAATTCATTGTCTGCTTTCTTCTGTGAAATAGGTACTCTAAATATGTGAGGCAGAGAAAACTTGAAGAAAAGTATCTGTGCCACTGGAAAAATTTTGTCAATTCAGTTTTTCTGGTAACAATCTCAGAGATCTTAGTGTGTAGATTATGGGAAGAACTTAAGCACTGATGCGATTTTCATTTTGAATTGTTTGATACTTGGAATTATACTAAAGATTTAATTAGCTTACATATTTAAAATTCAAGTCAAGATATAAAATAAATGAAGATAATAAGGTAAATATAACAGCAGTTAGGAATGTAGTACTTTCATAGATGCTGAGACCAGATTGGTACCAGATTGGCTCAAAATGCCTGAGATTTGATATTAAATAGTTCCCAGACAGAGCATTTTTGAAAGTCAGAAAAGTACTTTTTGTACTTTCTATGTAATATTTTGTACTATCTATATAATAGATATAACAAATTGACCTCAAATTCAGATCATTACTGATGCAGAGTGAAAGTTAACCAGCCAGGGAGTAAAAGTTGTAGTCCAAAACAAATTTTAATATAGTGATATTATTTTTATTTATGGGATTCACATAGTAAGTGCAAATTAAAATGGATAAAACTATCCTGCATATTTACTGTAATCTTAACTCCTTCTATATCACGATTGACCTTTATAAAGACATTTATTTCACACATAATTGTTAAGAACATGACATTTATAATTTACATATAACAAGCATGCTTTACTAAATTAATGAAGTGAAGCTTTCATTTTTACAATACAAAGACAAATGTGTGCTATCTTATGTTAATATCGAGTATCCAGAAGATGTCATTTGCATTTTTAAACAGTATAATTCAAGTTCACTAATTTCTTTTGTGTTCATTAGTTTCTCAATTTTACTACATGAGCATTATCTCAGAGTTAAAATAGATTTGAAAAAAAGATCAACTTTTCTGCTGCTTTTTATCTTGGTGAGGTACTGAAAAGAGACATGTCTAGAACAGAACACTAAGTAGCTCCGATGTTCAGTTAAGCTCTCCTACACCTATGTGTGTGACATCGGAAACTCCTCTTGCGTGGTGGGCTGAAAGAATCTCTTTTTCATGACATCATGAGTTAGTAGTCTAGACTATTTGATTTTGAAAACCTAAATTCCCTGAGGAAAGATGCTTAACATCTGTACCAAATTACATGTATAAACTTTGGCTTGATTTAGAAGCCTCTTTTTGGAAATACTTCTCCACATTAATATACTGGTGGTATTTTTTCTCATTGAGTTTATTGGTACATTTTAGGTATACAGTACAGTTACATTCATTGTTGGGATCTTGTACCTTTACATGACAGGTCTTGGTTCTCATTTTGTCCCCTTGTCCCTTCCCTCCCTTCACCCCCTCCTCCCCTCCTCATTTACAAACACTTTATTTCCATTTTTTCATTTTCTCCTATTTTTTCTTTTCCCTTATTAGCTTTCCCTTACCCTTCACACTTTCCCTACACCTTTAGCCCCTTTCTTCCTATTTCACATTGTCAATTATCTCATTAGGATCTTATGTACTATTATAGTTTTTCACATAATGGTGGTATTGGTATTTTTAAATCAATTGGTGTTTCAGATTCAATATGTAAATAAAACATGCATCTAGCAATTTGACCTGCATTTCATTAGAAGAAAATAGTGAAATAGTAAAAGATTAGAAAATACTTAGAAATAGAATGTAGTATAGACTTTGATGAGAGATCATATTTTAAAAAGTTGCAGAAAATCATTTTCTGTACAAATTCAGGATTAACTTTGGTGAAACTTATTCCCAAACTCATTTTCCTTTCTTTATTATTTACGTACCACCCACTTCCAACAAAAGATTTGATAGCAGTTTTCCAATAAGGACTGTGGAGAAGCTATTTAAAAAATGAACAGAGAAAACCTGGTTACTTGGTTTCAGAATCTAGTGTGATGTGCAGAATCTGCCATACACTTGGAGGTGTTTTCGTGGTGGTTAAGATGGTTCGTTTATTCAGAAAATAAAAGATCTTAACGTCCTCTTCACTTGCTTAGTTTGTGACTTCTTCTGATAAGTGGCTGTGCTCTTTGGCATATTTTCCAGCACTATTTCAGTTTGAAGTGAGCCAAGCACTGTCCTTGTGTTTTCAAAAGGTCCACCTGACAAGATCCCTCCACCTACAAGACCTCTACCAACAGTGCCCCCACACCGCTCCATTCCTCCAGTGGACCCGAGGAGAAATGACAGGCCGAAGCCTCCTCGGCCTCCCACCGGCAGACCTGCCTACCCTGGAGCCAAGCCCAACATCTGTGACGGGAACTTTAACACGCTAGCTATTCTTCGCCGTGAGATGTTTGTTTTCAAGGTAGGAGGCTGTGTGTGTGTTTTTTTTAATGGTAGATCAAGTGTCTAGTTGCTTTAGAAAACAAGTTCTAATTCATTCTAACATTATCTTCCCAAGCCTCTCACAGTTAGAAAGCTCCAAAAAATCATCCTAAAAACTAGTGCACAAATGGGCTTAAATGTCTAGCAGAAGATTGCTGTAATATTCTATTTGGGGAATGCATTTATGTCAGCAGAAGCTAAAATGCCTAGAAATGTGAGGGTGAGAAAAATGCTGCATGTTATGAAGAGATAGCATAATTTAGATCATGAATAGGAACTAATAAGGATGATTTGCTTGGGAGCTTAGTCGCTTCAAGGAACACTGCAGCTATTGTATCTTTGGTTTACCCACCTTTATGTGCTCTGTAGAATGTCATTTGATAATTATTGCATCATTTTTAGGATAAGTATCGATCATTTTGTTTGGAATCTACTGGTAATCAGTTGAGTTAAATCTCCTCTATGAAAATATCACTGATTTCAAAAATATATATATAAATGTTATTTTCTTTAGTTAGGCATGTATATCTACCTAATTTACATTAGTTTTTGAAAGATTACCAGCTAAAATTAATTCTACATTTGCTAAATATATTTCTTAGTATCACTGGATTTCCAAGCACTATGTATCAAGTGTACATTATATGATGTTGAGAGGTGAATAGACTCTAATAGTAAAAATTAATTTTCTCCCTCAATATTTGTAAACTGACTTAAAAATTAAGGAGGTAAGTAAATTTGAGTTCTTGCATTAGAGTATTAAAATAGGCACATTTTATGAATATTGTCCACTCAGAGTAAAATAATGTGCTTTCACTTTTGGTGGACATGAATCAATACATAATGAAATATTGTCCTACTTATACAAAATTTCCTGTCTACCAAAGCAGTACTTTAAAATTATAGATTTCATATAATTAATTTTAAGGAGGCAAAGTACTCTATTTCCTTTATGGAAATGTAACATCTGGGTTTGATATAGTATACACAAGGCCACTATGCTTTCTATAAAAAATCAATGAATTTCTTCAAATATATGAATAATTTTTTTAATCCTATAGCTGCCCTGAAATGCTTAGATATCACCATTCAATTTCAAGTAGGCTAATAAAGTCAAATTTAAAGAGTAAAGAAAAAATACATATATTAGTTAATATATCAATCCTCAATGTAGCTACATTCAAAGTACCTTGTAAAAACAAAAATGAGTAAATTCCTTGTTTATCATGCAAGACACTAGATGAAAATTGATTTTATTGTTTTGGCTGAAAATTTTTACATTGCAGTTTTATACTTGGACAGCATAGCAGCATGGTGAAATCACTAAAGTGTCAACTTTTTCTAAGAATACGATGTGAAACTAACTCTAGATGCCTTCTTTCTCATTATTCCTGTCTACCTAAAAAGGTTGTTCTTCCAGGGTAATGGTATGTTCATATCTAGCAATCAATTTCACAGGCAGGTGGCTGCCAAGTATGGTTATGAAGAACCTCATCATTCACACTCAAGTTAATGGCCACTATTTTAAGTCAAAACACATATCTAAAAACGTAAAGAACTCTCTAAACACTCAGGTCCTCTTAGACTGCTTTAATCAAAATTCCCTATAAGACTGAGTCATTCACTTTTATTTTTAGTTCTCCATTCTCATTCTAAGATTAATTTCTGTTGGAGATAAATTATACGGTAAGTGTTATATTATTAGTTTCCACCTGCCCAACGTCCTCTAACCTCGTAGTTTTTGTATTCATCTCACCTTTCATATAATTAGTATACATGTCTTATTAGGAACCAAGAATGTGTGACTAGAAGCTAACCTTCCTGTCTTTAGAGAGCTCGTGTTTCAGAAATGAAGACAAACATTAATCTAAATACTTTTAGGAAACAATAGTAAAAGTTATGACATTGAAACAAAGAAAAGTACTGAGGACTAATAAAATGAGAGGTTTCTCTGAGATAGAAATTGTGATTAATTTTGAGATTGATTGGAATTTTCTAGGCATATTAAGGAAATGAGTAGGGTAGCAAAATTTGCCTATCGAGGGAGTGGAGGTGGACATAATACTCTAGTGCTGAGTGCAAAAATTTACATATATACAATATTGGATGAAAGGAAAGAAAACATAATTCAGGGTTACCTGCTCTTTGTTAACACCTGCTCTTAGTTGCCACAGATGGAGTCACTAACAGGCACAAATGTTAGTCAGATATATGTAATCTCTAAAACTCATAATAACAGTACAAGTTTGACATGACTGTTTTATAAATGAGAAAGATGAGAATCAATAAAATTAAGACATTAGGCCAAATCAAATGCCTGTGAATAGTAGTAGTCAAGCACAGGTCTACTTGATTCCAAAACCCGTGTCTTTCTCACTAAGCATTGTTGCTGTACCTAAAAAATTAGGAAAAATTTCCAAAGAGTTGAAAATGGTAAATATTCAAGAAATACTTATTGTGCTCCTGCTGTGTTCCATAGATACTATTTTAAGCATTAGCAAAGTAACAGGGCACAAAGTAGGTTAGTCTCTGGTTTCTCTGGGCTGCCTTTGAGTTTTCTGGGTAGACAGGTGAGGAGGGGGCTTGGCACACGTGCTCTCCCTGTGAATGTCGTGGCAGGATCTGAGAATACACTATGGAGCACTGAAATGCTGCTTTTCCTTATAGCCGACTACTGTTCTTCCCTAACTTCTCTCTCTATACCTAGTTAATCTAGAGTACTGTCACCTCTAAATGTATGTCAGTGGGTTTCTGGTAACAGGATCAAGTCCATAGGCTTAAGTCCATTTGCTTATGGCTGACCAAATCAAAGGAGGCCATTCATACTGGTGAAAAGCAAAAAACTTACTCAAAGCTAGTGCTATGGAGAGGGAGGGGCCTCATTTGCCTCAAATCAATGCCTCACTGTGAACAGATGTGTTAGGGTCTTTTATAGCAAGGAACAATGGGAGAGGAGATACAGTGAGACATTAGACATGTCCAGGCTTGTTCCATTCCCCCCTGAACCCCAGCTTTTTCCTCCTTCCCTGGGCAAATAAAATAGGATGTTGACCAACTAGTTCCAGGATCTGCATATTCTGTTCATTCATCTGGGCTCAGGAAAGATAGATGCGTGGTTATCCCCTCACACTGATGATTCAACTTGTCTCTAAAGAGAAAAATCCCTAATAAAGTTCATTTTGCCATGCCAATTACAATTGCTCTGTATCTGGTTTTCGTATCTGAAACTGTTCTCTGCTGAACTATCATTTGAAATCCTGCATTTTTAGTTTTCCTGTACCACCTTCCATATTTTTTGCCCCTTGTTGACTATCTTTCAGACTGATTTATGAATGCCCATCCTTTGATCCTCTTACTTATGTGGGTTGATTTTCTCTTTTTCTTTATTACAAACTGTTTTCAAGCCAGAAGCCTCTTTGTTTCATCAACCCTTCCACTCAACACTTCTTTGTACCTTAGCTTTGTTGTTTAGAAGTTGTTCTCTCAAACATGTCCTTATCCAGTCCGTCATTACTCAGCATCTGACAGATGTCTGTCCCATCCTCTCTGCTTCTTCAGCCCCAAATCCTTTTAGTGATTTGTGTATAAATTCTGTACGTCTACCTATGTCATGAATCTCTGTCATTTCTGATTATTTCACTTTGTAGGGTATTTCTTAACTAGATAAGAAACTCCCCCAGGCCAGGAATAGGTTCTTGTGGGTTTCACAGTACGCAGTGGTAATGAATTGGAAACTCAGTGTAATATATCATCAGACTATAGCTAGTATCATGTTTATAGTATGATAATCAAATGAAATTACTGAAGCCAGTTCATTCTAGTAAATTGTTACTCCTTGCCAAAAGTTTTCAGTGCATATTATTTATTTAAATTCTATCTGTATGACTCTTTAAGCAAAAGAGAAATTTTAGAACTAAGCAAAAGCTAATATCTTTGAGTAGTTCTTATTTTCTTACTAGGAAGAACCCTTTCTATAATAGGAATTTCTGCTTAATTATTTTTGGTAGCTACTTTCCCTTCAGCTGATTTGATTTACATTGAGTCTTTCAGGTATCTATTTATTTACAGAGCGTTTACCTGGATATGTTTCTATTGGGTAAGGGATTTTTGTAGGGATATAAACGCATAAGAAAGTTAAGCCTTATAGCTTCATAGTCTTTGAGGAATGTAGACCATCTAAAGAAAGGAAAAGAAAAATCAAAACAAAATACCAAGGGATGGAGAAACAATATAGTATCAAAGGAAGCTTCGTTCTTCCTTGGAGAAGGTGATTTTAAGACTACTCCCTGAAGAGTATAAACTGTTGTGACTGAGTAGAGAGCAGTAAGATCTTGATTGTGAAAATGATTACCGTCAATGTGCCTTTATACCACAACATAAAAACATGGACCATTTTGGTCATTTTCTCAAGTGAAGGAAAGCAGAAGGCAGAATTAGCCATGGTTATGCAGGATATATTTCATACACAATGTTTTGCTATTTATGAATGGTTTCAGTTGTAAACTATGTTCTTTGAAGCTAGGAATAAGAAAAAACCATTTTATTCACCGTCTGAATTTCTTTTGATGCAAAAACGGGGGAAGTGTTCTTTGGATTGCTGACCTGTTCTTCAAGTCAAGTGAAACAAGCAAAGGCCAGTATTTTATACTGCAAGTTAGTCAGAAGGGGTAAAGCTATCCTAGAGAGCGCTCAAAAAGGTACGTAGGAAGGGTCTCACCAGCAAATATAGAAGAGTAGCCTCATGGCTCTGCCAAATGGAAGCATTTCATCATTTACCCAAAACCTCAAGCCAAAGCAGATATTATCGGTTTCATTTTTTAATCTCAATTTTGCTTCTGCTTATTCATTGCAAAGCTGTTTATTTTGAAGTAAGACTATCTTCGTTGATGACCACCTATTCAATTCTATGTGAGAACCATAGATCTGTGTAAATACAAAGTACGGCCCAACTCCATTTGGCTAAAGACGTATGTTGTTTTG